TACTATCATATAATAATAATAATAATAATAATTATTATTATTATTATTATTATTATTATTATTATTATATGCATATATTTTATATAAAAGTATACAATATAGTAAAAAAAACATTATTATTATTACATACGCTAATATATATTCTATTATTATTTAAAATGTATATGTTAATATCAATAGAATAAAAAACAATCAGTAGCAGACATACTACACTTGCATGCTAAACACTAATTCTAAGCAAGTTTTGAGTATGAACTTCACTACTTAATTCTGGGAAAAGTGGCAAAATTAACACTGAGCACAGCCAATATGGATACTAGAAAAATGCGTGATTTTTGAGTGTGCTTTTTATTATTCACTGTCATCCCAAAATATAATGCACAGAAGAAAGAGAGGACCTGCTGAGAGCTGGGAATAATTAATGAATTACAAAAATAATATCTTTTGCTGCTGATGGTGAAACAGCTACAGAAAGAACTAGATAAACATTTGCAGTCAGATGTATGTCCATGGGCAGATGTAGTATTATTGTGGGGTTTTTTTGTGGTTATTTTATTTTATGGTAAAACAGTATTACAATTAGTATATAGGACATACAGTACACAATTAGTATGTAGTATGAGAGACAGCTCATGGTTTTTTCTCAAAGCAAAGTCATATTTTAACCTCATATTTTCAACACTCGATTTGCAATCACTTAGCTTGGCACACTGAAACCTGTGGCAGCAAAGTGCAACCACAGCATGAATTAATGTAGCTCCACTGGAGCCTCACTCCGACTTATCCTGCCAGTTCAACACCAACTTTTAGGCCAACACTGCCCTCTATTGAGCAAGGTAGGGATCCTCTGACTGTCTGACTAAAACAAGGTAGGCTTCACCTACAAGCACAGGCTCCTGGAAATAAAACCATGTACAGTGTAACATGCCATGTGTCTTTGAAAAGCTGATAGATGATAGTGGGGTTTTCAGTCCATATCCCTAACAGATCTGTATAAACTGCTGTACTTGCTGAGGTGCTTCTCATTATTTAAAAAAAAGATATCCGTTTATTTTGGTAGCATTCAAACAACCTCTCCCATGAATCTTAGACACATACACATGTTGTGTTTCAAGCATACCGAAGAAAAAACAAGCTATAATGTATAAAGTAAAGTATAATTTTCCCTTTCATCCCATATTTACAAAACTTTCCTACAGATAAAAGACGTTATCCTTCCCAACATTATAT